GCAATGTCCAAGATGAGGGCGCGACCAAGTAAAGCGTCCAAGAGCACCCAACCAGGCTCGAAGATCGTCAAAGAAATCCAAAATCGCGCCCAAGATGACGCAAGGTCAGCCCAAGATGGCTCGACAAGGAGTCCAACGTGCCTCGAATGGGTACCAGCCCCACTCCAACATGGCTCCTATTGGCAAAAACTCGAGCAGAACCCTCAAAACAATGACTGACAGCGTAGCATACCTTAGCACACCTTAGAACAAGCACCCCCCCATCCCGGGACGCCGCGAAGCTCCCCCGCTGGCGCGCCGCCGAGCTTCACCCTACCCGCGGCGGGTGCATTCCTCCCGCCCACCTGCACAGGCTCGCCGCGCTCGCACGAGCGACGCTGGCGCTTCCTGCGTAACACCCTGCAGAACCAGTAAACAGTGGGGTGCAACGTGTGCCCGCGTCGCTCCTTGTCGGCTCGCATCCCACTGGTCCCCCCCCCCCACTCCACGGACTTAGTTTCATGAGTCCCACCAGCCCTCTGGGCGTAGCTGGTTTAGGCCGTTTCTTCTCCCACCCCTCCTTCTTCCCCTTCGGGGAGGGGTTTGTCCTTACTTCCTATGATTAAACACCCCCACATCCCCACCTAGCCGGCCGATGACAACCCCGCCGTCCTAACTGACAAAGAAATATAGAAACTCAACGTTTACCTAACAGCGAAGACTGATAGGTTTCTAGTAGGGTCAAAAGAGAGCGTCATGACTCCCCAGGGGGGTCTGGGCGGGATCCGGACGGGATCCGGACGGGAATCCGGGGACTCCTTTTTTAGCCAACAGTAACGCACTTCGTGGTCTTCGAGTTCCCAGAACTCCATTCCTGGGCATGATTTTGAATGCCTGGAGCCAACCGTAGGCCACTTCGTGTTCTTCGAGTTCCCAGCACTCCATTCCTGGGCATAATTTTGAATGCCTGGAGCCAACTGTAGGCCACTTCGTGGTCTTCGAGTTCCCAGAACTCCATTCCTGGGCATGATTTTGAATGCCCGGAGCCAACTGTAGGCCACTTCGTGGTCTTCGAGTTCCCAGAACTCCATTCCTGGGCATGATTTTGAATGCCCGGAGCCAACTGTAGGCCACTTCGTGTTCTTCGAGTTCCCAGAACTCCATTCCCGGGCCACGTTTTGAATGCTGAGGCAGGCTGAGGCTGAGGCTGAGGCAGGCTGAGGCTGAAGCTGAGGCTGAGGCAGGCTGAGGCTGAGGCTGAAGCAGGCTGATGCTGAGGCAGGCTGGGGCTGAGGCTGAGGCTGATGCAGGCTGAGGCTGAGGCAGAGGCAGGCTGATGCTGAGGCAGGGCTGAGGCTGAGGCTGAGGCTGATGGCAGGCTGAGGCTGAGGCAGGCTGAGGCTGAGGCCGAGGCTGAAGGCAGACTGAGGCTGAGGCTGAGGCAGGCAGACTGAGGCTGAGGCTGAGGCTGAGGCTGAGGCTGAGGCAGGCAGGCTGAGGCTGAGGCTGAGGCAGGCTGAGGCTGAGGCTGAGGCTGATGCAGGCTGAGGCTGAGGCAGGCTGAGGCTGAGGCCGAGGCTGAAGGCAGACTGAGGCTGAGGCTGAAGCAGGCTGAGGCTGAGGCTGAGGCAGGCTGAGGCTGAGGCTGAGGCTGCTGAGGCAGGCTGAGGCTGAGGCTGAGGCTGATGCAGGCTGAGGCTGAGGCAGGCTGAGGCTGAGGCCGAGGCTGAAGGCAGACTGAGGCTGAGGCTGAAGCAGGCTGAGGCTAAGGCTGAGGCAGGCTGAGGTTGAGGCTGAGGCAGGCTGAGGCTGAGACAGGTTGAGGCTGAGGCTGAGGCTCATGCAGGCTGATGCTGAGGCAAGCGGAGGCTGAGGCCGAGGCTGAAGGCAGATTGATGCTGAGGCTGAGGCAGGCTGAGGCTGAGGCTGAGGCAGGCTGAGGCTGAGGCAGGCTGAGGCTGAGGCTGAGGCTGATGCGGGCTGAGGCTGAGGCCGAGGCTGAAGGCAGACTGAGGCTGAGGCTGAAGCAGGCTGAGGCCGAGGCTGAAGCAGGCTGAGGCTGAGGCTGATGCAGGCTGAGGCTGAGGCAGGCTGAGGCTGAGGCTGAGGCTGAGGCAAGCTCAGGCTGAGACAGGCGGGGGCTGAGGCCGAGGCTGCAGGCAGACTGAGGCTGAGGCTGAAGCAGGCTGAGGCTGAGGCTGAGGAAGCTGAGGCTGAGGCTGAGGCTGAAGCTGAGGCAGGCTGATGCTGAGGCAGGCTGAGGCTGAGGCTGAGGCTGATGCAGGCTGAGGCTGAGGCAGGCTGAGGCCGAAGCCGACGGCAAATTGAGGCTGAGGCTGAAGCAGGCTGAGGCTGAGGCAGAGGCAGGCTGAGGCTGAGGCTGAGGCAGGCGGATGCTGAGGCAGGCTGAGGCTGAGGCTGAGGCTGATGCAGGCTGAGGCTGAGGCAGGCTGAGGCTGAGGCCCAAGCTGAAGGCAGACTGATGCTGAGGCTGAGGCAGGCTGAGGCTGAGGCAGGCTGAGGCTGAGGCAGGCTGAGGCTGAGGCTGAGGCTGTGACTGCGACTGCCGTTGCCACTGCGGCTGTCATCGCGAATGCGACTACGACTGCGATAACAGCCGAATTCTACATCTGGACTCTCATCTGAAGATTTAGGGGACTACTTCCAGATATGTTCCAACACATCGTCGCTAGGTTACTTTGCCGGGGTAATTTCCTCGCCAACATGTCGTCGAATTGCGAAAAGTGCAGCAATAATAAAACGGAATGAGCATCGCTCGGGTAACCCTAAGCGGGCGGTCGCGTCCCTCACGTCGGAAAACACTTCAACGTCAACGATTTTCTCGTCAACATTGACTTTCTTGTCGTCGGCGCTGCGAAACATGTAGCAGGAATGGAGCGCGGCGCACATCGCGCGCGGACGCCTGGCCAAACCTACGCGGGACCCCCAGTCGTACCTGCCAAAAAACACCACACGTCGACGCTTTTCTTGCCAACATGCATTTTCTCCTCATCGGCGCTGCAAATCGGGAGTGGGACGCGGCGCACATCGCACGGGGGCGGTTGCTCGTCAACATGGCCTTTCTTGTCGTCGACGTTGCGGCCCGTCGGGTTGAGGAGCTGGGCGGGCGGCAAATCAAAATGCCTCACGCAAGTGCGGTTCAAGCAAGTGCCTCAGGAGACCCCAAGAGGTCGAAAGAAAGGTGTCCAGCACGCTGGGGGGCCAACACAAGCATTGTTGTTCATCTGGTGTTTGAAAGGTTGTGAGGTTAGCACCTACTTGTGTTGGCAATGTTCCAACCCGGAAGATATATCCAAGAGGCCCTCAGGCGCATGCCTGGAACCTCCCAGGCTGCCCCGCGAACTCCCAAGAGGCATTATGTTGTTCCCCCCCATCAGTTTCTCCCCCCCTCCCTCCTTCCCTCCCCTCCTCCTCCTCCTCCTCCTCCTCCTCCTCCTCCTCCTCCTCCTCCTCCTCCTCCTCCTCCTCCTCCTCCTCCTCCTCCTCCTCCTCCTCCTCCTCCTCCTCCTCCTCCTCCTCCTCCTCCTCCTCCTCCTCCTCCTCCTCCTCCTCCATGCGCGGCACGAGCGAAACGATTGGCGGTGCAACACGCGTGGCTGGAATGAGGCGCGGCGCACTTCGCGGGCTGAGCATGTTGTCGCCGACGGTGCAACATGAGAGGCTGGAGCGGGGGGCGGCGTACATCGCGCGCGGTTTTGTTTCTTGCCGACGTTGCTCAACGCGCGGCAGGAATAGGACGCCGCTCATGTCGCGCGCTGAACATCTAGCCGCCCACGGTATAAGATGAGCGACAGGCGTCGGACGCGACGCACTTGTTTCTTATGTTGTGGGACGGCGGGTGGGAGTGGACGGAGGAGCCCTCTAGCTCGTTCGAGCTGGCTACTTGGATCAC